GTATATAAATGTAGATAACAAATTTATTTTTAAAATCTAGACCCTGAAAACTTGAATGTCTGGTGAAAAGGAATAACATGTGGTTGGTAATTTTTTTTGGGGGGAGGACTACATACATGCACGACATGGGAAAAAACAGAAAACAAGGACAAAAAGTAACCTTTACAGAAACAAAATATTGCCCACAATTTAAAATTTCTGATATAATAAAAAAATGTCAATGAAAGGCTCATCTCTAAAAGTAATTTGGATTATGGTATGGGATCTCAAATCCAGCCAACAGAAAGCTTCTAATTCACACACATCTAAGCAGTTTGGCACTTCTGTTATGTTTTTCTGGAAAGGAAATAGAAAGATATAAGCATTCCTTTAGAGAATGAATTATCCAAGTCATTATAACATAATTCCTACCTTTAGTCAACGTATAATCTCTTCCAAGCATTAAAGTAATAAAAAAAATTATTGGTTGTTCAGTCTCCATTTTTAAGAAAGCTTGAACATGAGTGAAAGTTATAGAAGCTGCAGAGTGAAGGTGACAAGCCACCAGGAAAAGTGGGGAATCAAATGTTGTCAACTGTTTTAAGTCTTCAGCCATGAAACACCTTTTTTCCCCCAAAATGTTTGAAATTCTCATTCAAAAGAAACAAATCAGGAAAGCCCATAATGGTAGCCCTTAAGTCAGAGTTTATATTCAAGAACCCAGATTTGGGGAAAGGGCAGCTTCAAAGTGATAAGAGAAACATGATAGTAATTGATAAATGAAAAGAAATTTTGTTAATTCTCTTTGTTTTAGTCTCTAGCAGATCTCCAGTATGTTGCTGGAAAAAAAAAAAAAATCAAGAGATCAATGGAGATAAGATGGTACTGAGTTGAATCCCAAGCTGGGAGGGATCTTAGTGATCATGTGCTCTACAAGCTCATTTGATGATTCAATTGGAGCCAAGTCCATAGCAAATAAAGAACAGATCTGGGTCTGGAATTCAGATTTCCTCATTCCTATTTCAGTATGCTGTTAATCCTTTCCTCTGACATGAAGAATAGAAAGAAAAAAATATTCTCAATTCTGGAGTCTAGCCCTCAGAACATTTCAGTTGCTTAGGCTTTCTGTAGAGAACAGGAACCAGGCAAATATTATACACAGTTAATTATCATTATTTATGGTAGTTATGTTCTCTAAAGTTGCCATGAAGATTGATTAGCTATTACTAAAAAATTGCTTCTAGCAGAAACACAGGGTTAGGTTCCTTTAAGTCCCTGTGTACAAAATCTTTCTCAACTGATCAATACGTAACCCTGTTTATTTTAGCTTCTTCTTGAATATACCTTAATTAATATACATTGCTGGCATTCTCATTGAACTTGTACCCAATAGCACAACTCATACCTAAAGGACTTTTTTCCATAAGGCACGTCACAGCTCTCCTGTGCTTAGAAATACCAGAGAGAAACAACCTCAGTAGTACATTTGGGTTCACATTCAACAGCTTCCCCACCAACCACTGCACAGAAATGTAAAAACATGGCACCAAATACACAAAGAAGAAGATAATTACACTGAAACAAGAAAGCAAAGCATCACCTATGTGACCTTAGCTAGAATGTGCAGCATGGGTGACACCATCTTTTTGCTATATTGTGTGTGTGTATTTTTTTTTTTTAATTAATGAACTGCATGTATTGATTTGGGGGTTAGAGGTAAATAGATGGATCTAGGCTGGAAAGATTCATTCCCCACTTCTGTATTGGTTACAGGTCAATTCAACTTGTTCATTGTGCTTCTTTTCTATTTTTAAAACATGCTACTCTAAACATGTGCTACTTTAGTAAATAAAAGAGCCAAGAGAAGCTCTAGTCTGAAGAAGTAAGAATGACTTTTGCTCTATCTTAGGCCATATCCAGTCAGGTCAGAATCTGTTCTTTACTGAAAAGCAAAGTTTATCTAGGAAATACATTCATTCTAAATTTTAAAGATATTCCTCATTCTCCTTTTTGGTTTTACATTCCCTTTCTATTCATTTATCACTTTGTTAATTTTCTTCTGTTCTATCTTCTCTCTCTCTCTGAAAGTGGCCAGTAGTCACCAGGTAAGCTTGCTGTCATGTAGGCCTCCTCCTGGACTAGGGCTTCCCTAAGTGTTCTGCATGAACATTTGTGATTTGAATGGCTTCTGGGATGGGACATGAGTCAGCAGAGTGGACTACAGATGAAAGCTGAGACAATAGAGGGACAGTGGCCATTGATAGAGGCTTATCCTAGGAGGGTAGGTAGAAAGGATATGAGTCGGGAGATGGGGTGGGCTACTATTGAAGCAGTATAAGCAGAACAGAATAAGGGTGGTCTTGAAAGCATTCAGACCCAGTACTCTTGTTTGATTCTCAGTAGGAAGCAAGGTCATCTGTTAGTAGTTAGGCTGGGAGGAGTTTGGGCAGGAAGCTGGGAGCATGGGGAAGGTATGAAATAATAGGTCATGAGAGAAATAAGCTAGACACTCAAAATCAAGTGGAAAGAGTGCTGAGGAGAGATGAGGACCCAGCTGCAATTGGAACCCAGTCTTTTTGGCCATCTCTCTGCATATCCCAGCAGAATTCTCTAGCAAGTATGTGAACAAGCAGGTCATCAGTCTCTTCCTCAGCGCCCCATTTGCTCTTGTGAATGGCCACCCGACTTCACTGCCTTCCTTCCCTAACCAGCCCACATGCCAAGTTTGATCACCAGGAGCACTTGGTAGCCAACTTCCTCACAACCCTCTCCCATATATTACTTTTGGTGGCTTCGACTTTGCAGTTCCAGAAGCCTGGACAGTCAGAAGATCAGAGTGTTCAGTGTGTAGTCTAAACCTGAAGAAATTACCATTTTTATAGGTCAAACATGGTCCAAAATTAGGAGATTTGAAGAGGAATAGTAGGATGGAATTATTAGCTTCAGAACATTAAAAGATTTTAGCATATGTTGGAGTGCTTGGAACTGGCTGAGAGTCCCAGGAGGCATTAGGGCCTAGGTCAGAGCAGCTGCTGGGGTAAGTCTATCTGGAGGGGTTCAGCCTGGAGGAAGGACAGTTCTCAAGCCTGATCAGGCCTCCAACAGGAAGCTTATTCTAACCTTTCATATTTTGAATTATTTTTTTCCTGGACAGGCACAGTGTGAAGTTGTCAAGGATACAAACAAAATTCAAAACAAGAGTGATGGAAGAAGGGGATTTGGGAGGGGAAGGTAAAAGAAAGAGAAAAAACCCACACAAAGATTTCTTGATTAGACCTGACAAATGTAGCAGTTGTTTTAACTATAATTAAAGGCAAAATACGAAAACAGATGTTTTCTCATTTTAGGCACAGAGCATCATTCTTCATATCCTCAAAGTTCCTCTCATATGCCTGCCTTTAAGAATATCCTGCCATCCTCTCATCTAGGCCTAGAGTTGCATATGTAGATCCTAAATGTCCTGCAATAACTGAAGCCACCTCAAATGTGAAAGTTCTACCATTGAGAAATCAAGAGAAACTCAGCCAACTCCCCAGAGGAGAGCTTACAATGTGGATAGGTATCGACAAAGAAATACCTCAAAATTCTTCATATATAAATTAAAATTAATCCTAAGGTGACAAATGACAGATACTATAATTTTTTTAGTATGGACTAGCTGACTATATAATAAATATATTAACAGTAAAAGTTGTAATCATATTAACAATAATATCATGAACAACTCTTGCTAAGCACTTGGAATACATTGTTTGACAAAATTTTCTTCAAACTGTTTCTAAGATGGCTTTATTCTTTCCAGTAAACTGAGGCTTAGGAAGGTGTTTTTTGTTGTTGGTTTTTTATTTATTTATTTTTGTTTTTTTGTGTGTGTGGTGGTGGTGGTGCTGGGGATAGAACCCAGGGCCTTGTTCATGCAAGGCAAGCACTCTACCAACTGAGCTATATCCTTGGCCCAGGAAGGTGGTCTGCAAGGTCAATCAGTTAGTAATATCTGTGATTATGATCTCAGCAAATTGACTCAAAAGCCAATGCTCATTCCCTTCTCGTTACTCTGAAATCCAACAGTTAAGACTTCTGGCAATAAAGACCCTTTAAAAAATAGAATGGATATTCTGAAAACTAGGACTTTACTTTTAAGAGGGCAGTGTTCCAGTAGCTTTCTTATACCAGTGATAGTTCTTCCTTCTTGATATCTCATGTCCAAAATCCAATTAAAGAATTTACAGAAAATTAAAATTAGAAAATTCGCAGGGATCTTCCTAATGTTCGAAAGAAGAAAGCCTCAGTAAGAACTGGGACAAGAGAAACCCCATAGTGAGCTGTCAGCCAATTACTGAGAGACACAGCCTGCCTAATTTTCATGCAAGCAAACATCATCACAGATGCTCTCAAAGGTCAAGTTGGAGTGAGTGAGGTAATGCTGTTTGGGGAGTGAAATAAACATTACTTCGATTTTGCTCTAAGTTTTTTTTTTTTTTTTTTAACTTGTTTTTGTTTTCCTTGTCTTTCTAGCTCAATTTTGAATGCCCTGTTCTTTTTAATCAAAATCATCCTCTCCACTCCCATTTTTCCCAATCTGTGTCCAAAACATAATATAGACTTCCCTCAGCCTACAGATTCTGTCAAGACCCCTCGCTTAGGTCGACACTATTTTCTTACAAGAGTTGGAGACTTTTAAGGGTGTGGAAAATGATGTTGGATTTGACTTGGCAGAACGTAGGAGACAGAGAAGGAAAGGTGGCACAGGAAGGGAAGGAAGGGTCTCCTGTCCAAATAATCTTGATTTCTAACCAAGAACATGACCCCCCAACTTAAGCATTTTCATAGATAGTCTTAACAGTTTTACAAGATTTTTTTTTCTGTCTTTCAAAATGTGCTTTCAACAGTCGTGCTGTTTTCAAATGAACTGAAAGAAGTACTGTGTTCAGGACAAGGATGGGCTATAGCATATGACTGGAGAGACACAAAAGCTGCTTTATTTCAATGTATGTTTGCCCTGGCAGGAATCTGGGACTTACCTGTACATAATCCACACTTCGACCCAGTGCTCTGAAGGCCGTGTACATGACTTCTCTTTTTCCACCCCATTTTTGCATGATGCAAACACTTTTGTTGGACAGGACCAATTGGGTTACATGCTGAGAGCTTTCTTTATGTGACTCATCTGTCTCACCAGGTCCCTTTTCATGGAAGTTGTTCTTCCAGATGTAAGTAGCTGATTTGTCCCTGCCCATGACTTCACTGAAGATGTCCATCATGTAAAGGTCATCGTCAGAGTTCCCATCGATGACCATGACGACTTTAATCCCAGGGTAGGTTAGCCTCTTCACAGATTGCAAACATTTCCTTAAGTAGTCTGGATCTTCTTGATATGCAGCGATGCAAAGAGCAACAGTTTTGTTCAATTTAATGGGGGTTTCTAGGGATTTTTTCATTTTTCGGTGCTCCAAAAAGGCAAATAGGCTTTGGATGATGAGGTGTGATGCTAAAAAGGCACCGTATAGTCCAAAAGAGAAATAGTAGTTATCCGTTTGGATAAATTGATAGCCAACAATATAAGCAGCTGTGATTCCAAGGAGGAGAGAGACTCCAAAAAGTGTGGTTCCAATTATTCTCAGGATGCATAGAAACCTCTCACAATGCATCTGCAATATAATCAAATGACACTCTCAGTTAACCATTCCTGTCCCAAGCTTGTTATACACATGGTGTCAATGGGGGGCACTACACGGAGCATGTAGAAGTTCTACTCCCTCACTTGCTATGTGACTTTTGGCACCCACTTTGCTCATCTGCAAGATGAGGCTAAAGACAGCCTTCTGACATAACTCAAGAATCCAATCCATAATGGTGCTATTGAAGTATCATAATGTATTAAACGACTACCTAGATGTTTTAAACAAATACCATAATATATTAAACAAATTTCCTTGCTTTTATCAGCACACACACATTGTTTTTAATGTGTCAGCCTCTCTGACTATAGTGTACTCTATGTGGTCATAGCTAGGCATAGAATCAAAATTTCTGAAGCCCAGCATAATCTTTCTTCCTGTACCAGATTATCTCTTTACTCCTTGACACTGACAAGTTCAACACCCATGGAAGATTTTGATAAATTTCTTATGTCTAATTTCTTCTCATTTCCAATGCAAATCCTTCAATGTACGTCCTTTCCATGTATCTGGCTGAGATTGGAGGTGGAGAAACCATCTCCTAGCTCATCAATTAACTGTTTGAATCTTACTTTCAGAGCTTCATTTTGTTTGTTTTCAATCTGTTAATGAGGAAGTTTATCCTTGATTAATTCCAAATCTCCCATTGACACAAACAATTCTCTACTCCTAGGTATTCTGCACAATATTTTTCAAAGCCCTTGTAATTTTGAACTGGATACACACATCAAATATCTATCCCTTTCATCTATCATCATCAATATTAGATGTTAGATCGTGGGGATCAGGAACCTTATTGGAACACAGTAAGCACATATAAGTGTTTGTAGAAATAATGAATATATTCAAGAAGAAATAACATCATGCTTAATTACAACAGGTGAGTGTGCATACTATTAAAAGCTGAAGGATGTTAGACCTAAAACATGTTTTAGTTTTTAATTATAACCAGTTTTGTACTTTCCCCTACATTTTATGTGTCTCTTAAATGAGAGTTTGAACAACTCAAAGCTAAGAGAGCCATTTTTCTGTTTTTTCAAAAATAATTTCCAGTGCTTGGCATAGAAAAGATGCTTGATAAACCTATTATGTCATTTTCCCCCTTGAGGTTTTCTTTCCTCCTCTTCTAAGAATGGACTGTCATAAGGACATAATTGATATAAATGTAATGTTCCCATCTTTGGACCTTTATATCAATTTTGGATATTTGTCTTATTTGTATATAACTAGTACTTAATCTTTTTCTTTGACTCAACTAATGTTTTAAAAGCTAAAAACGTTATTTTATGTGGAAACTTGGGCTAAGATTTATCTCTGTAAAACCTCTTGCTTGATATGCGTATTTATAGTTTCCTACTCCAAATCAAAATTTAAAATTGAATATCCACATAGGAATGTAGTATCATCCTGGTTGTTGACAGTTGCATGGCCACCATATTTTTTCAGCTCTAGAAAGACACCATTCACACATTCCCATTCTGTTCATGTATCAAAATGGTCCTAAGTAGGTATGCATTCTACTTCTGCTAAACATTAACATGGATGCTTTTGTGTTACCTCTCTTCCCTGTGCACAGACTGTGTGGTACACCCATGACACTCCAGTCTCCTGAAATCTGAGATGTGCATCATTTAAGAGAGAGGGTGTCCTCCTCTAATCGACCCCTTCTGCAGGCTGGGTACACACATCAATATCTAGGGCAGTGTAGAGTCCCATGATGGAGCTTGGTTCTTGAATTGCCTTATAGAAGGGAGTCTCCCAAGAATCAGGATATCTGCTTGAACTTGGAGCCCAGCGCAGTGAGGCACTCCTATAATCCCAGCTATCTGGGAGGCTGAAATAGGAGGAGCTCAATTTTGAGACTTTATTGGTCAATTTAGCAATATTCTGTCTCAAAATAAAATTTAAAAGGCTGAATGTATAGTTCAGTAGTATGTGTGGGGCCCTGGGTTCAATCCCCAGTACCACTGAGAGAGAGAGAGAGAGAAAGAGAGAGAGAGAGAGAGAGAGAGAGAGAGAGAGAGAGAGAGGAGAGAGAGAGAGAGCGCCCACAGACAGGGGACTTCCCTTGTATTCATATTAACAAGAAATGATTTCTGGATTTTTATTGGTTTCTGTTTGCTGTTGTGCATTTGGGGGTTTAGTTTGCCCTAGCTAGTATAATCTAGGTAATACACAGCAGCCTAGAAACCAGGTTTCTAGCATATGAACATCTTTTTGTTGTTGTTGTCATTGTTAAATGTAGATGATAATGTTTTTCAAAGACTCTTTATAGGGCTGTGCTGAGTAGCAAAATAAAATCATTTGTGAAAGTTTTTTTAAAAAAGAAACACAATGCAGTTTAACATATCTGTTTTAAAAACGTACAAAACAAGCACAAATGTGTGTTCCACTTTTAGCAGCTGCATAGGACACCATACAGTGTAATATGGGAGCCTAACAGAAGCAACCTCAACACAAATGGAAAGTTGAGACTACTGCAAAAGGGTGAGATGGTGAGATTTTGGTGAAAGGCAAGCATATACAGCATCCCCTTAATTAAAACAGCTGACGGGGTGCTGAGCCCTCCCAAAGGGCATGTTAACCAATGCCTGAAGGTGCTGGGAGGACCAGACTTGGAACTTGTCATTTCCAAGACATGAGTCATTCTCACAAGAGTGAAAAATTTCATGGGGACTAAAGCACTTTGCCAGGCAGAAGCTTAAGTGTGTATTTAGCTTGTGTTTAAATCACCATCACCAGCAAAAGAGCTGCCTGACATTCTTTTCCATTATTCACATTTTCCTTGCTTTTATCAGCACACGTGGACACAGAAAGTGGTCACATAGCATCTGCTGGCCACTGCTAAAGTGGGAACACCCTCTTACATCATGGGAGCCTCAGGATGTCCTTTTGAAGCCTGGGAAAAGTTACTAATGAACTGCAACCATGTCACTAAAATTGAACCCTTATATTCCTGCTTCATATCTCAGCATGGCCTAGTATGACACACAGCACTTCAGTACAGCCTAAAGGGCAAAAGGCCCATCTTAGAGCCAACTTTGCTGAGTGAATACATTGATCTCAGGGAGTGACACACAGGATGTGTTTTTTCTTTTATTATTCCCCTGGGTCATTTCACAGCTATGGGCGCCATATGTGTAAGACTTTGTGAGACAATCCCTGATTCATGTGCTCTGGTTCGTAAGCATACTTTCCTATTAAAACAGGAGCATGGCTACATGGCTTTTCTGTCAAGTTGGAAAAACAAAGTTCCCTGCTAGATCATGAGAGCTTGCTTACTGTGAGACAGAAAGATTATTTAGAAATCTATATTCCACAAACACTTAAAATAGGAAAAAGTAATTTTTGCTCATTATCAGTCTTGAGCCTATCAAAAAATATTTAACCTTGACACCAATTATTTAATAACTTCTGTTGTCCACAGAACTGAAATCAAGGTAAGGAATGGCTTAATAGAGTGTAATGTAAGATCCATAAAGTCAATAGATACACACACACACACACACACACACACACACACACACATCTGTTCTCAAAGGACATAAAACACTGCATGGTTTATATATACTATCTACTACTACCATTCAATAAATATCTGTTGAATGAATGAAATCCCATCATTCCTATCATCCTCGTTATAATGGCTGGTAACATTCATTCATCATTTATTAGATTTTAGTCAGTGAAGAAATTTTTTTGCATTTTGTTTTGTTTAGTAGCATGATCTTATTTAATCTTATTGGCTTTAGGTGACAAATATATTCTTCACTCATGTTACAATATATGTATATGCCAAGGGAACCAAGAGGCTGAGTATGTAAATTTGCTGTCCAAAGTCAAAAAACATACTAGGGGCACATACTAGTCTAACGCCTGACTCTTCTTGATAAATATTTGCTGAATAGAATTGAATTCTCATGACAGGCAGCATCTTTTTGTTCTAATAAAATGGTGTTGTATAAGGTAGTTTGGGGGAAAACTTTGAAAGTGGTATCCCTGCTATTGTGGAAAGTGGGGGATGGTCACTTGCTCAAATACAGATCCTAGGCCAGCCAATGCTCAGAGAGGATTTCTGGTCTCACATACTTTCCCATGTGAGTGCACCCTAAAGGGACATGGGGATTGTTTCAAAAGAAGCTGCTGATTCCATCTATGCAACAGCAATTCTGCTTCTAATACCAGCAGCCAAAATTCTGTTTCACCATAAGAAAGGCATTACTGTTTCCATTGCGTCCACCTGTGGAGCAGATATAAAGTCTTGCTGTTAGCTCATATACCCCAAATGGGACTCTTTGGGTCTTTGGACCTCAGAGCCTTTTCCTCTACCTTGACCTTTTTACATTACCCAGAGAGCAAAATGTTGGATGAAGGGAGAACAACAGCTGCTCTCAGTGCCCTAGTGCAGTGGTGAAAACGAAGTTCCCATAGTTTTCATAAAGTGCTTCTTCCATTTATTTATCTGGTTGATGTGAATTCAAATTTGTTGAGTCAGCATCTCTGAAAGGCTGCAGAGATTAGGTCAGATGACCCTCTTGTGAGAGGTCACAGTTTACCACTCCTTTCTAAAATAATCCCCCACCCTGCAATCTCCTTACCCCCAGCATATGCTCACCCTTTGCCCTGCTGGGTTTTCTAACTTGTTCCTGTGCACTCTCCAGAACACAGGGAATTACAAGTCTCCATAACCATTAGGTCCCTATACTGAAACCTACTGAAAGCAGGGTTTGGCACATAGAAGATACTCAATAATGCATTTCAAATGAATGCATAAATTCTTTTGAACTTAGGCAGTCAATGTAGACAGATAGGCATGGGTCCCATCCCTGTCATCACTGCAGGAACACTGAATACATGCTGAGAGTCAACCAGGCCCTTAAGGTACCTCCCTTCCAATGGTTCTTCTTACTTTTTCTCCCCCATTACCATTTTTAAAAACAGCTCCATACTTTCTTGCTTAATATATATGA